TCTCTTTTCAAGGAATTTATTATCAAGCTGTACAATCATATATATATGTATATGAAAATTTTGTTTATTTTATCAACTGAGTTCTATTCACTATACTCTTATCAGTAATTATTCATTATGTAATCACTTGTTTCTAGCCGTTTGAACTGTTGTCACAATCAATGCTGTAGAATGTTCTTTCACGTAAGTTATATATTAACACTGTTCAGTCTATTAAGTTTATTTATACCCTTACTATACTATGCTAATATGTCTTCAATATAACCTCCGACTAAACCCTCTCACGTAAGTATCTTAAACCCATTATGTAATTATGATTTTAAATATCACAGGTTGTCAGCAGCTGACGAGAACCTACAGTGTAAAATGAATTCATGCTGTTCTGCTGAAATCTTTATTCTTGCTCTTTTCAAAATGATTCCAATAGTTTATAAATAGTTTTATTGAATTTCTTTTAGGTTTTGTAATTTTCTTGTCAGTTGAAGAGTTAAAAATCAAGTGTTAGGAAACAACGTTTTTTTGTTGTTGAAAAAACAAAACAAACAAAAAATTGTATTGTGTTTGTTTGTTGTAAAGTGGTCGGATCTACGAGATATAGATTTCGTACTATTTGAGAACTGTCAATTTGATGTATTTATAATATCGAGAAAAAAAGATGGAATCTTAACCTGAGTTACTAAATGTTATAGTCACAAACAGGAATCAATTAAAACAATTATGGGCTATTTTATATTATTTTTAAGTATTTTAGATTTACCGTCACTAATGAGTACTCTCCCTAACTTTCATTTGAATGGGCGGGTCATACTGTTTTCTAGTGAGTATACATACAATCAGTATTTCATTCGATGATTTGTGATGGTTTTTGCACATCTACACTTTGAAAAAATTTCATATTTAGATCGATATCATCCTTGAAAGTCCTAGATCCAATGTCATGTAGATTCATTAGTGTACACTTTTTAAAATTTTAAAACTAGAACTGCGAAACAATTATCGAATATCACCTAGTTTTCATTGCTCTCGTATTAATTTAAGTTTGTGATAAAGCACATTTTTGTTATTTCCTTCAAAATGTCAACATTTGAACACTTGGATTATTGATTTTAAACCAATTTCATCAAATACTTTTATTATTTATTCTAGTGATTCTGTTTCAAACTTTCGTTTTTATTATTGAAAATGCTCTTTAAAGACTACTTATCACCAACTTTCTCAAATGTCTTATATGCAATACTGATGGCTTTTTTTATTGCCTGAAAATTCTAATACGAAATGATTCAGTTTCCAAAATATTTCTGCATGTATTTGCTTTTCTCGAAAAATTTTTAATTTTTTTTTGCAATGAAGTATATTTAAGGAGAAACAATTAAATTTTGAAAAACCCAGAAACTTAAATAGGCAAATATAGAATATATTTGTACAATAAGATTAGTCTACTCATATACAAGCAATAGTAGTCTTAAAAATACTTGTAAATCGATTGTGAAATTATTTATTTCATAAGAGCTCACTGAGGTACAAACTGATTATTCCGTCAGCGACTTTATGTAATACGTTTCTTGATGAAGATTTTATTTGAAGATC